ATGACCAATTCACAATGATGTATATAACACATACGTGGATGGCCGGCCACCATCTAAGAAATAGCAAACTTTCCATAGGGTGCCTTTGGGGAGTGCAGAGAAATGGATCTATGTTCTCACCCACATGGTGAGTCCTTAAAGTATCAAAGGTTCTCAGTCCAGAATATTCTACTCAACAGGGCCTCACATTTTTCATTTATGACTTAATATAGAATAAAAGATCAGCATCTCAAAAGTTGAAATTTCTTATGAGGAGATCTGATTTCTCTGAACCATTGTTCTGTGTTACAGAAATTCAACTATAACTTTGGACCTCTTGCTAGTAAAAATAGCTTGCGATTTTTTAATTAGCTAATCAAAAATGTTTCTTATTTTTCTGATGCTTCCCATATTTGACTTTATCTGCTATTTCATCACACAACTGATAAGAACAGCATCCAAACCAGCAATTTGAATTATTTTCATTTTCTACATTACTTTTAATTTCACAATCCCTCCATAATTCCATTCCTACTTTTGTTCTCTTCTCTCCCTCTTTCCAAAGAGACTACTTGAAAGCTAGGATCGGAGATAAATCTTTTCTTTTACTTTGACTAACACTTGCTTGATGTGGATTATATTGTGTTCCACTAGCAAATCCTGATATTTCAGGAAACTGTTGTTTTATATGCCTATTTTTATGAACCAAATTATAGTGTTAAATCATTTACAGAGAACCATTTCTGAATTAGACTGTTTTATATGGCAGAAGAGTTACTTCTGTGTGTCTTCAGAAAATTTGGTTCCCAAAAGGATCAAGACGCATCTTGGGCTGGTCATTGGAGACGAGTCATCTGTTTTGGGGCTTCCTCTCACCATAACACACTGAAAGCTTGGGGAGAACCTGATGCCAAATTAATTTTTCATACCAAACCCACCTATATTGCAATTCTGATGTGCATAATGGGATTCATAATTCACTTCAGCACTTCTTCAATTCATGCATTAATTGTTGCCTCTAATCCCTTAAACAAACCTCTGAGAACTTTAGCAATTTTGGAGCATTCTATCCTTCAGTCCTCTGAGAGCAAAGGACGAACAAAGAAAGAAAAGCTATGGAGTCTCACTTGCAGAATTACAAGCCCAACAGGCATTTACTGTGCATTAACTTTGCTACACATGGTGGCACTCTGTGAGGCACTTTGTGTGGCACTTTGTGTCCTGGTTCTGTCCTATTAAACTGGTGGTCAAATTTCATAAGAAAGTTCTAACTTAACAGAAATTTGCTTTACTATAGACCCACTGCAAGCTATTAAACAAGTTACCTATACTTTAAATTTATATTTTAATTATTTACAATTTTCTTTGTTTTCAAAATTCAATTTTAATAGTTTGAATCATTAAAAAATCTTCAACAGAGTGGATATTTATAAGCATGGCAATATTTCATACTAAATAACTGTAGATAATTTGATTCAGTTCATTTTTAATATCAGAAAATTGGGAGATAATTTTAAGAAATGTGAAATAAATATAGCACTTAGTGTTATATTAATTTATTCCACAGCTACATAACTAAAATCGAAAATGAAAGGCAAAAGTATTTGTTCATGATCTCTTCAAAAACTTTTTAAAACATCAGATATCTTTTAGCAACTTAAAAATGTTGAGTCTCCTTCCTTAAAAATAAAATAATTTCTATTTTTTATCTTAAAGAAGATGTACATCCTCCAGTATATGAGCAATTTCAAAAATCATATAAGCCTTTAGAAACTGAAAAATTATAAGACAAGTAATTTTTGAAGTTAAAATAAAGAAATAATACTAAGAGGGCGCCTGGGTGGCTCAGTCGTTAAGCATCTGCCTTCAGCTCAGGTCATGATCCCAGGGTCCTGGGATCGAGTCCCACATCGGGCTCCCTCCTCGGGGGGAAGCCTGCTTCTCCCTCTCCCCCTCCTGCTGCTTGTGTTCCTGCTCTCGCTATCTCTGTCTCTGTCAAATAAATAAATAAAATCTTAAAAAAAAAAATAATACTAAGATATTACTATGACAAAAGAATATAATTGCAAAGTTATAATCTGAGTTATTTGCATAATGATCAATGAAGCAATAAATTTTCTACACATATGTATTAGGTTCAAAAAAGTGGTTTAAAGAAAATGATTTCTCTTTTTTTAATTAAGCCTTTTAGTTATAATCTCTGAAGCATTCTATTGAGACACATTCAGTACTGAGATGAACACAATGCTTATAATAATTATTAAATGACAACTTCTGGAGAGCTAATCCTTTTTAATACGGCCTATTTGAATAATTTTATTGTTTTTTATATAACAGACTCTACCAGTGAGACCTGCTGAATAATGAACATACAGACTGCCTGTGCTTCATTTACATGCCAACTGTCATGCTCACTGGAACTAAGGCAAGTGTCATCTCTTCATTCCTCCTGATCCTTGCCATTTCTGAAGCTGACTTGGTGACCATTCCAGATCACCAATGCACATGCATAACCCCCAACCTGACCCACCTTCTTCTTAGTTACCCCAGTGCCAGTCCAGGGCAATGCCTGCTTTCAGGAGATAAAAGAGGGGAGGGCTGTTTCATCATTCATCAACATGCCCCAGAACTTCTTGCTCCTCCCAAATCTACCTTGCCCCTCAACACGATATCTTAGTTCTTCATCTAGAGACAGAGCTTTGGGTTTACATCCAAAATGGTAATGGGTCTTTACTAAAGTAAAGCTGTTATTTACATACAAGGAATTACAGAAACAACACTTTATTAAGACTGCTTGAGGGGCGCGTGGGTGACTCAGTTGGTTAAGCGACTGCCTTCGGCTCAGGTCATGATCCTGGAGTCCCAGGATCAAGTCCCGCATCCGGCTCCCTGCTCAGCAGGGAGTCTGCTTCTCCCTCTGACCCTCCCGCCTCTCATGCTCTCTCTCTCTATCTCATTCTCTCTCTCAAATAAATAAATAAAATCTAAAAAAAAAAAGACTGCTTGAAAATGTAACTTCCCTTCATTTATGTTTATACTCCTAGTTTGTTTCACAGGATGGCTTATAGTAAGACTTTCAAAAAGACCAAGAAGGGTGTTACTTCATTTTGGGACCAAAGTTTAAAGATGAGTTTGAGGGATGCCTGGGTGGCTCAGTTGGTTAAGGGTCTGCCTTTGGCTCAGGTCATGATCCCAGGGTCCTGGGATCGAGTCCCGCATTGGGCTCCTTGCTCCGCGGGGAGCCTGCTTCTTTTGCCTGTCGCTTCCCCTGCTTGTGCTCTCTCTGACAAATAAATAAATAAAATCTTAAAAAAAAAAAAAAAAGGAGTTTGAGCTGATGCCCTGTTCTTTGGGACTAGGGAGGAAAGAAAAATAAATATCATGATCTTGATGAGAAGCGAACAGTGATGGTAGTGAAGAGAAAAAAACAAAAAACAAAAAACAAAACAGGAAGGATATTTTAATAAAGCCAGCCTCACTATCCATAACAAAGGTACATGGGAACATACGAACCTCACTCACAACCTCTCTTGGCCATAACAGCCCCAATATCATACACTATTTGCCAAGCAATGGAAATGCCAACCTGCTTCAGTGAGAAAGATTGGAAACTGTGAGTTTAAAATAAAGTTTTTTGACCCATTTCCAGGGCACAACAAATTTGAAACCCTAGGGCGCCTGGGTGGCTCAGTTGGTTAAGCGACTGCCTTCGGCTCAGGTCATGATCCTGGAGTCCTGGGATCGAGTCCCACATTGGGCTCCCTGCTCAGCAGGGTGTCTGCTTCTCCCTCTCCCGCTCCCCCCTCTTGTGCTCTCTCTCTCTCTCAAATAAATAAATAAAATCTTAAAAAAAAAAAATTTGAAACCCTAAATGCAATTTCTTATAGGAGCATTATTTATGGTTATGAACTGCTGAAATATTCTAGAACTAGATAGCCATATACATACATATATATATATATGACCTAAGCCAATTCACCCTTGGAGTACTGACCTTCATTATAGATATTGGACTGTTAACAAGACTGACTTTGGTTTCTTACATTGTATAGCAAGCAATCTATCTATATCTATCTATCTATCTATCTATCTATCTATCTATCTATCTATCTATCTATCTATCTAATTTATCTACCTATCATCTATCTATCCATCTATCCATCTCTCTCTCTCTCTATATATATATAATTTTCATTGTGTTAGCCTAGAGATTGAACCAACATGGACTTGTAAATAAAAATTAGAAACAAAACTTCTTTTTAAAAGTTTGCAAATGCCATAATCATGTTTCAGTTTTATTAAATATTTTTAAAATGAAAATAAAATATATACTTTACTGGAGAATATCAGTAGCACAGATGATTTAAGAAGAAAAAAAGTTTTCTAAATATATTTTGCCAGAAAAAATATTGTCTTAAATTCCATCTTCCTCCTCCAAAAGATTCCCTTAGCCAAAATCATGAAAGAATGGCATCATATATGGTATTGGGAAAAGGATTTCAAATCTATGATAAACCAAAAGTAAATAATTTAACTCTAAATATCTGAGAGTTGTCTGCAGAAACTACCACTCATTTCAGTGTCTGAAATTCAATTGTGTCACTCCCAGTGGAAACCCTTGCTATGTAATGTAAGAAACCAAAGTCAGTCTTGTTAACAGTCCATTTTCTATGATGAAGGTCAGTAGTCCAGGGGTGGATTGGCTTAGGTCATTAAATCTAACCTCAGTAAATAGTAATCAGTAAGAGTGAAAGAAAGAATATGTCACAAAGAGAAAAAGAACATACTGAGGCATGGTTTATTCTGCAAAACACGAGGGAAAAGAGCAACATGGAAAAACAACTCTTGTCTGTGCTACCTATGTAATTTTAATTTTTTAATTAGCATCTTTCTCCTCTACCCATGTTTTAAATTACTGATCCCAGAGTATTATAAACATCACAGAGCTGATGATCCAGAGATGCTCTATCACCAGGAAGTCTTGTTTTTAAGGAAAACATGCACACAGTCTATATACTTACTGGAGATGTTGATACTTGGGTTATTCTTAACTGGCTTTCCAAATCTTGTACTTTGTTTTTAAGTTCCATATTTTCGGTTTCTAAGTCTTGAATCTAAAAAGCAATGATTATTGAATAACCTTCAGAAATTTATTCTTGGAAAATATTGGCCATCATATTGGCTACATTAATGAATAGGATTTTATATTATTTAAAATTTTAATGTACTCTTGTGCACAGGGGAGAAAATTATTTGATAAAGGTTGGGGATTATCAGGAAATTCTAGATCATTGGAAAGACTTTTTATTAGATTTAAAATATGTTTTTACACATGTGCAAATTCCATGTTTCTAATACCTCATCTCTGTGTTTTCTGGTTGCACTGTGCAGTCTGTTACCCATAATCTTGGAGTATAACCGCAAGACAGTGAAACTTGCTTATGATGACTTTGAAGACAGTGGAGAAAGGGTATAATTTAATTACAAAGGAATCTGATCTGCATGGGAAACCACTTACCCAGCATCTGCTGCTTCTGCTGCTCTGATCCCCATGAGAAGCATCAGGAAGTGAAGCAAAGTCACATGAGAACACTAAGTTCTTGTGGGAATTCAATATAAAATGGTTAAAAACTGTGCAGGGGATCAGGAATGAAAAATTATAGGAACACAGTGAAAGCAGTTCCAATCAGTGTGGGGGAAATTTAATGGCAGGCCTTCTAAATTTGTTTGAGGATATGCAAGTTTCCCTGTACTTACATCACATAAATGTGAAACAAAAAGTTTAGTTTACTCACTCTTTTCTGTAATCCTGCAATCTGTTTCCTTGTTTCAACATCTTTTCCTCCAGATTCTAGAAATTTCCTGTATGCCAGGTCAAATGCTTGGCCAATTGTTAAAGTTATTTCTTCAGCCTTTGTAAAAACCAAAGATTTGATATGTCAGACTGTTCTTTGAATCAAGAAAAACATTCACATGAGGTACTTCAAAGGGGAAATGGCTGCAGGTAGAGATGTGGTCAATGAATCAAGTTGTCTATGCTAACATAATAATTCAATGCCTATCCATGCACAAAATTAAAAAAACAAAAGCTTTGGTAATTAAATGAGTAGCTATTGAAGTTGGAAGCAAGAGTTCTATCCACCTTCTCATCTATTTCATCATAGCATTTTTTCCTAGTTTGTTTTCCTTCTTTCCTCAAATATTTCGGGCCTATTAGATGAAAGCACATTGACAACTGCAGTTCTCTTGTTGCTTTACTACTTATTTCCTCTTCCTAATGAGGAGGGCTGGTTAAACCGGGCAGGTAACTCGAATGAGGCTGACTGGGTGGTGTGGAAAACTTGAGCTATGCCCTCTCAAAGTGGAATAATCAGTTCCAGTTAATTGTTGGCTTGTGGAAATGAACAATTCCAACCCAGAGTTGTCAGATTTTAAATATGGGAGATGAGGTCAGAAATCTGAATTTTTATATGAAAACTCCCAATTGTAAGTGATAGTAAACCACATTACTATAAAACACAGTGCCTATTGAACAAAATATATGTTATCTGAATTTGGCCTCAAAAACAATGCCACAAATGTCCTAAGTCTACCAGTTCATTCCTTCCTCATTCATATCTTGACTGGGATCAGTGTCTTGCACAATGTAAACACTAAATAAAAATTTATTTTATTAACATTTTATTAAAAAGATTAGTAAAGGCATTAATTGATTTAATCCATCAGAAATATGTCATATTTATTATAAGATTTCCAGATGACATAAAAACTGGTGGTAATATTAAATCTTGAAAATGCCATGCTTTAATTTACTGCAAATCCTAAAGCTTTGTGATATGCTATGAAAAATCTAAATTGCAAATATGCTTTATTAATAACAGATTTTTTTTAATGTTTCAAGCTTTTATTTAAATTCTAGTTAATTAACATAGAGTGTAATATTGGTTTCAGGAATGGAATTTAGTGATTCATCACTTACATACAACACCCAGTGCTCATCACAAGTGCCCTCCTTAATCCCCATCACCCATCTAGCTCAACCCCCGCCTACCTCCCCTCCAGCAACCCATCTAGTTAAGAGTCTCTTTTATGAATAACACAGATTTAATTAAGACATTGTCATTTTTGTAGTTCACTATTTGTTTAAAAAAGGCTTTTAGTATAAAAAAATTAGTTTAACCCAGTTAACTAAAAAATACAAAATATATTCCTAAAATTATATATAAGTACTATCTGTCTCACAAAAAAGGGGAAAAAAGAAGCTACATTAAGGAATATTACAGAAATGAAAATGCCAGATACCAAACTATGTGTACTCAATGATTCCAACTAATGAAAAAGTACACATATAAAAAAATTAGTTGCATTGGTTGTTGTGATCACATATAATATTAAAACATAGTAAATGTGGTTATAATAGATTGTGGGACTATCATTTTTTAAATCTCTAACTTCAAAACTTAAGGTAATGTGTTAGTATTTGTTTTACAATAATAAAGACATATTTGTAAATTATGGTTGTTTTTTCTACCTTCTTTTTTATGGGTTCAGTGTGTCCTCCTCCTAAGACAGTATGTTACCCTAAAATACTCAAGGTGTACATTACAGAGAATTGTTTCAATGGTAGCAGGTTTGATTTATCATTAATAACGTTTGACTTCATTATAATTGTTTACAGTAATAACTTTTAAAAATCATATTCTTTATGATAAGACATATCTTTCATGATTAAGACATCTTTTTATTAAAACAGCATTTAACTCCCCAGAAAATATTTTGCATACATTACCTCACTTGATTCTCATAATTAATCTATGAGAATAATCCCACAATACAAATGCAGCTTCAACTCTGTGAGATATCCATTTGTGAGTGGAGAAACTGGATTCAAATCCAAAATATCTGACTCTACAAGCCCTCACACATTTTTATAAACAATAAAACATACAGATTATATTTGCACAATCAGATGTGCTTTGATAAATGTATATACCTATATAAGCACCATTGTCATTAAAGATATAGGATATTTCTATCATCCTAGAAAGTTCTCCCATGCCTACTTACAGTCAAATCACATATCTTATGGTTAACCAATGCTAGAATTCCATCACCATAAATCAGTTTTGTCTGTCCTTGTATCCATAAAAATGAACCATATAGTATATATATATTCTTTTCTGTCTGGCTTCTTTTGGAGTTTCTCAGATGTTGTATGTCTCATTTGCTTTATTGCTGATTAGTGTCCCATCTAATGAATATACCAGATTGATTTATCTATTTGCCTATTAAGGAACACTTGCATTGTTTTCAATTCTTGGTTATAAATAAAACTGTTACATTCTTCTAAAATCTTTTTGTGGACATCTGTTTTCAAAAATCTGGATAAATATCTTCAATGGAAATGCTAAATCAGAGAATAGCTCTATTTTAACATTTCAAGAAACTGCCAAACTGTTTTGCAAAATAATTGTCCCCTTTTACATTCCCACCAGCAGTAAGAGAGTTCTAGTTGCTCTTCATTCTCACCAATATCATATATTGACAGTCTTTTTAACTGATCACCCTAACTGAATGAGTGATGCTATCTCAATGTGTTTTTAACTTGAATTTCCCTGTTGAATAATTACATCAGCTCAGTTCCATGAATGACTAAGATGAATTCCCCCCATCCAATCATTTAATGAAATATAAAGAGCAAGAATATTTGTTAAATTCAAAAAAATTTATTTCAAAAAATTACTACAAAGCAAACATGAAATACAACAAGAATATATAATAAAGAACTTACAAATAAAGCTTGTGAAAAGACTGGGTGTAATGATTCCTTCTAGTAATAATAATTTATGATTCTTTTGACACATGAACCCTTTTTTACAATTAGTTAACAAGTAAGAGAGAGGTTTTAAACTTTGCCTTATCTATATCTCACTGCACATAAATAAAGGAAAATACGTTGGTGGGGTGAAGCTTTCATCGCTTATTGGGGCTACTATTTAAATTTTATCAAGTGTAGAGGCTCCTGGGTGGTGCAGTCAGTTAAGCAGCAGACCCTTTATTTTGGCTTGGGTCATGATCTCAGGGTCATGAGATCAAGCCCTGCATCAGGCTCCGTGCTCTGCACAGAGTCCGCTTGAGAATCTCTCTCCCTCTGCCCTTCCCCACTTGTGCTCACACACTCTCTCTCAAATAAATAAATCTTAAAAAAATATATATCAAGTGTAACATCCAGTGAATAAAGTATATTATATTAACATTTGGAAAAAAAAATTGAAAAAATGATGGCTAAGGAGTTGATAGTGATTGTATATTCACCTTATATTAAATAAACAAGATCAGTCACATCATAATGAGTATCTATATTCTAATTTTATTTTTTAAACTTAATGAGATGACTACAATAGTTGTATAAATATTAAATCTTAATAACACATGATACTAATAAAGTGAGTTCTAATTTTATAGCATACTAGTGTAGGGTTTCATCTAAATTTCAAACAAACTCTTAGAAATTCACGGAAGTACTGAATATATAAAATACAAGGAATGAAGAGAATGAAGTAAGAGCAGAGGAACTCTGGAGAGGTCAGTCATGGGAGTAATATAACATGGAAGATGGAAGAATGTGGAATGGGAATCTAGGGTCTCACACTGGACTTCTGATTCTATTGCTACCTAGCTTTCTGACTCTGAGAAAGGCACTAAATCTCTCTGGCCTAGATTTACTTAAAATAAGACGAAAACAAAATATAGCCATAGTTTTATTTTCCAGGTATTTTTTAGACTGATATGCAATTATAAGAAATAATACAGAGAGATCATGGGTACCCTTCATCCACTTCCTCCAATGGTAATATATTACAAAAACTATTGTACAAACCACACCAACTAATACTGATATTAATATAATCAAGATACAGAATAATTCCATTACCACAAAACTGCCTCATCTTGCTGTTTTATAGCCACATACTCTTCGTCTCCCCTTACCACGTCCTTAACTCCTGAAAAACACTAATCTGTTCTCCTTTTCTTTAATCTTGTCATTTCAAGATTATAAAAACGGAGTCATACAGTATGTAAGCTTTTGGGATTGACTTTTTTCATTCCATAATTATCTGGAGAGTTACCAAGGTTGTTTCATGTATTAATAGTTCACTCTTTTTTCTTTCTGAGTAGTATTCCATGTTTTGGATATACCAGAATCTGTTTAACCATTCATCCATTATCTGAGATATTTGTAGTTTGGGGTTATCACGAATAAGCTGCTATAAACATTCTATGTAGGTTTTTGTATGAACACAAGTTTTTATTTCTCTGGGATAAATGCCCAAATGAGTCATATGATAATTGCATGTTTAGTGTTTTATGAAACTGCCAAATGGTTTACCCCAGTGTTTGTACCATTTTATATCCCAATAGCTTTGTACAAGTGAACCACTTTTCCATATCCTTGCCAGCATCTGGTATTGCCACTTTTTAAAATTTATTTTTTATTTATTTATTTTAAAGATTTTTATTTATTTAGTTGAAACAGAGAGAGCACAAGGGCAGGGGAAGAGCAGAGGGAGAAGCAGACTCCCTGCCGAGCAGGGTGCCCAATGCGGGGCTTGATCCCAAGACCCTGAGATCATGACCTGAGCCTAAGGCAGACGCTTAACCAACTGAGCCACCCAGGCACCTCTATCGCCACCTTTTTTTATTGTAGTTTTTCTGAGAGTTGTACAGTGATACCTCATTTTAATTTGCATTTCCCTAATGGATACCAATGTTAACATCTTTTCATGTGCTATTTGCCATCTGACTATCCTCTTCCATGAAATGATCCTTTGTATCTTTTGCCCACTTTCCAATTTGATATTTTATGCTGTTGAGTTTTCAAAGTTCTTTGGTATGTTTGCAAATATTTTCT